AGAATGTTTCAGGATTCTCAACAGAGAGAGTTTGGTCTCTTAAAGCCAAAAGTCATTGCTTTTAATCCCTATTGAATTTAACCCCACCTCTGGCACAAGCAGATGAAATAAACTCACCTGTTTCAACTTTTTCTTTTTCTCCTTCACAGAGAGGTTTTTATCCTTGATGATGTTCTCCAGGAGCTCTGCCACTGCAGCCTGGGAGGTGGAGACCTTTTGTTCTTCAAACTCCTGAGGAGTGATTTGTTTGCAGTAGGAATACGTTGGCAAGATGGCACAAATTTCTTCTTTTTCCTGTTTGCACTGGAAGAAAAAAGGGCTCTGCATGCACTCAACTGATTCTGTACTGTTGGATTAAGTACCTAATAAACACCCACAGCCACTCACAAGCTGCAAAACATTGTAATTAATACCTACACATTCAAAATGTCCTGGGGTTATTTGCATTTTCCCAACTTCAGAAGAAGCAATTAACAAACGAATCTGCACTGCTCTCACGGCACCAACCTGAGCCTTCCTCACGAACTCGAGGTGATCCTGCACAGCAGCCTGCAGGTAAGCTGGCACCTGCAGGATTTCCTGCTGATGGTCCATCAGGAAGGCCAGCAGGCGTGTGGAGAGCAGCTCGTCCAGGTCCTCCTCCTGGGCACAGCGCAGGACACAGCGCGAGAACGTCTGGATCAGCTGCAAGAGTTCAGCACAGCTGCAGTGCAGAAAGCTGAGGGATTGATTTCCCTCCTCTGCACTGTACACTGGCTCAAATCCCCCCAGAACAACTTCCAAGTACGGTCACACAAGGAGGAAAAGTCATCATTGTTCCCTCAGCTGAATTAAAGTCATTTCTTTGGAATTGAACAGCACTTTCAATTAAAAATACATACTGTAAAAGGTGGTAGCAGAGAAAGGCTTAACCTATAGAAAACTGAACATTTTCACAGGACTGTAGAATGAATCCCTGGAATGGTTTGGGTTGGAGCAGGGACACCTTCACTGTCCCAGGCTGCTCCAGCCTGGCCTTGGGCACTGCCAGGGATGCAGGGGCAGCCCCAGCAAATCTGGGCACCTGTGCCAGGGCCTGCCCACCCTCTGAATAAAGAATTTCTTCCTACTTCTAACCCAAACCTAAATTCTCAATTGGAGGAGACGAGTGAGGTGATTATCCTGCAGGGCCAACCTAATGCACACCAGGATTAAACTGGAATGAGATGGGCTTTAAGGTCCCTCCCAACCCAAACCAGTCTGGGATTCCAAAGAGCAGCAGGGTGAGAAATCAGGCTGAGGAATCCCTGCATTCCTCTAGGAAGAGTTTTCCTGCCCTTACCAGGGACCTGGTGCCCATGGCATCGTGCAGCCGTGGCATGTCGACGTTGCCGCTGATCCTGTGCATCATCCTGAGCAGCAGCTGCAGCTTCCTGCGCCTCGGCGGGGGCAGCAGCACGCAGCAGATCTGCAGGGCCTCCACTGCAACCCTCTCCAGGTGAGGCTGCAGCAGGTCTGCAAGCCAACCACAAAGACAGCTGGCATTAAGATCTGAACCAGCTTCCGGCATGTTTCTACCTCAGTATCACAGATTTCTTATTTTTCTGTGTGATTATTTATGTTCCAGAGAAATCAGAGGAGAATGTACAGGCCTTTGTTTGTGTGGTCATCTTCAACTTCCTCCATTGTGGTGCAATTAGGACCACAATACAACTAAGGACTGACACTAATTATTCCCAGAAAATACAGATTTACAGAATAGAAGAAGACATTTCCAACAGGCAGGTGTGTGCAGGTTCCCTGTCCCCATCACTCACCTGAGCAGAAAGGCCAATCCCTGACAGACTGAGCTCATACTCCAAAGATACTACACACAGTTAGCAGAGCTACAGCAGCCTAAACAGTAATGCCAGCAGATTTCCTTTAGAACCCCCAGATGCATGCTCAGTGCCTGTGCTAGCAGAGTGGCAGAGGTGAGGAAGCAGGGTTAGTGAGGCCGCACAAGGCAGCACAGCACGCTGCANCTCCAACAAGCTGCCCCTGCCCTGAAAGCACAAAGTTACCCTCAGGACATGAGGCATCATTAACACAGGGTAAAATGAGGCTCGTTCGGGTTTCTCTTTTACAAAATCTTCCCAAAAAAAGGGAGAAAAATGGTGTTTTTGGGGAGAGAAGTGACAGGCTCAGGATCACAGATGTACCAAGGAATTCTGGCTGTGAGGGTGGGCAGCCCTGGCACAGGAGCCCAGATTTGCTGTGGCTGCCCCTGCATCCCTGGCAGTGCCCAAGGCCAGGCTGGACACTGGCACAGTGGGAGTGTCCCTGCCATGGCAGGGCTGGCACTGGTGGGATTTAAGGTCCCTCCCAACCCAAACCAGTCTGGGATCTCAGAGCCAGGCAGTAGATTAATTATTATTAATTATACTTTCCCAAAAATATTCCTGCAGATTTCAACTCCTGCGGGGGAACCTTTATCTTATCATAATTATTAAGTAAATCCCTACCTCTGGGAAAAATAGGGAAAATTAGTATATTCTGCTCTTACTTCATGGATCATCCATCACTCCTATTTTGAGAATCTCATCAACAGATTCAAAATGAATTTTCCATGAAAATGCAGAAATACACTTCAAGTCTTTTAATATAAATAAATATCAAAAAGCTGATGAGGGTTTTACAGATGATATGAACAGAAGCATTTATGGAGTGTGAACAGAAGCATTTATGGAGTGAGACAATCATTTATTTATGGTGAACTGGCTCTCCTGGTTGTGAACTCATAGAAGCTCCTTTGTTTAAAGACAAACATTTGAGAATAGAAAAGGCACTTAGTCACAACACACACATGTAAAAACTACAATAAATGGCACAAATTCCTGACAGACATTTAAAGGTTATAACAAGAGGCACATCATTAGTTTCCCATTAAAAAATATATAAATTTTTGGTTAACAACAGCTTTACGTGTATTTTTACATTTTCCTACTCCGATATATTGTAATAATTTGTAAACAGATAAATATTTTTCTTTTAGAAGTTATCCCAAAGTATCTGCACCAAAAAAAGGTATTTTGGCACCTTCCAGCACAGTGTCCATGTAAACATTTCCTCCTTCCACAGCACAGGCAGCACCAAACTCCTGCAGCAACTCCTTTGGTGACTCCCTCAGACTGCAGGCAGGGAGAGGTGGCTCAGGAGGGTGAAATCAGTACCTGAGGCTGCGGAATTTGGGTTTCCTGAGGCTCAGCATGGGCTGCTTGAGGGTGGGTTTGTTCTCCAGGAGCTGCGCTTCCGACTCCGTCCTCGGGAACCTGCTCCCGTAGATGTGGGGATATTCCTTCTGGAACTGCAGCACACACAGCAGCCACGATCAGCAACCCCAGAGGAAATCCCACAACAGCTCCAGCTGTGCCACAGCACACTCTGGGCCTGCAGAGCTGCCTTCCAGGAACGCCCTGGATAAACTCCCTTAGCCAACAGGGAGCCAAGGCTTCTCCCAGGAAAGCTTAGCACTGATCCCATGGAAATGAAAGCACCTGGAATCAGAGCAGTGGTTTGGACACTGCGCCTGTTTCCCTTGCAAGGCCTCAGGGAGGGATGAAAAACTGTAAATACATCTGGACATGAGCCAAACCTTCCCACGGATGGATCCAAACCACTTTTGTAACTTCTGCTGTTGAGGCAATTGGGAACTGCCTCTCTAGAAAGCGCCACGGATTTGGCTCTTCCCAAGAATTCCCAACACTTCCCATCAGGCAGAACGTGTCCAGCAGGCCCAGGGCAGTGCCCATCCCTGTGCTGGCACTGCTGAGGCACCTCCAGCACTGGCACCATTTATCAACTATAATTCACCATTCTTCTTTAGATTCACAAGTTTTGATGAACCAAACCAGACTCACTTTTAGAGGCCCACAAAGTCTCCACAACACACATGAAGTCAGAGCTGCAGGAGGGGCACCAAAGCCAAGTGTGGCTGTCCTGAAAAGCTGCTTGTTCAAAGGGGAGTCACAAGACTCGCTTAGGAGATTCCAGGACAAGTACAAAACTATTCCATTGGGCAGGAAGACTTGCCAAAAGAAAGAAAAACCCTCCAGGATTAAATCCTGCCAGAACTGCTGTGCTTTAGCCTTACTATTAGGCAAGTTGTTGGTAGGCCAGAGAAGTGCAAGATAATCTTGAGCACTGTAAATGTTATAAAACACAAAGCCAAGGCCACCAAAAGAATGTTTCAGGATTCTCAACAGAGAGAGTTTGGTCTCTTAAAGCCAAAAGTCATTGCTTTTAATCCCTATTGAATTTAACCCCACCTCTGGCANCCTCACATTGCACCTGGAGCTCCCCACAACCTCTCATTGCACCTGGAGCTCTCCACAACCTCACATTGCATCTGGAGCTCTCCACATCCTCTCACTGCACCTGGAGATTTCCACAACCTCTCACTGCACCTGGAGCTCTCCACATCCTCTCATTGCACCTGGAGCTCTCCAAACTTCTCATTGCACCTGGAGCTCTCCACAACTTCTCATTGCACCTGGAGCTCTCCACAACCTCACATTGCAGCTGGAGCTCCCCACAACTTCTCATTGCAGCTGGAGCTCCCCACAACCTCCCATTGCATCTGGAGCTCCCCACGACCTCACATTGCAGCTGGAGCTCCCCACAACTTCTCATTGCAGCTGGAGCTCTCCACAACCTCACATTGCCCCTGGAGCTCTCCACAACCTCTCACTGCACCTGGAGCTCTCCACAACCTCACATTGCACCTGGAGCTCTCCACAACCTCTCATTGCACCTGGAGCTCTCCACAACCTCTCATTGCAGCTGGAGCTCCCCACAACCTCTCATTGCACCTGGAGCTCTCCACAACTTCTCATTGCACCTGGAGCTCTCCACAACTTCTCATTGCACCTGGAGCTCTCCACGACCTCTCATTGCATCTGGAGCTCTCCACAACCTCTCATTGCACCTGGAGTTCTCCACATCCTCTCATTGCACCTGGAGCTCTCCATGACCTCTCATTGCACCTGGAGCTGGGTTAATGATATCACTGCTAGAGCTCTTCCAGTGACCACATGGACTCGAAATAACCAGGATCTCCCACAGGCACAGCCTGTTCCCAGCACTTCAGACAAGCAAATGCTTCCTTATTTATTCCTTTTGCTTGGAAAACTGGCTCGTACCTTCGGTGGTAGGTGACGTGCCCCTCCTTGAAGTCGAACTTGTGCAGCAGTGCCTGGCCATCAAAGAGGTGGTAGAAGGGCTCTGAGCCCACCTCAAACAAGCCAGGACCACATCTCAGGAGGCTTCCTCGCAGCCAGGTGGGAATCCTGCCTGTGGGAGACCCAGCGTTGGGATGGGCACGGCAAATCAGACCAAGGAATTTTTATTGTGACAGTGAGACAATCAAAACTTCATTTTCTAGTTAAACCTAGGGTTTAAACACACATGAGCTCTGCAAGCTCTGATTTCTTCACACCTGCTGTGGACCAAGACATTCAGTATTGTCTAAAGAGCTCCCCACCCAATCTGACCTTTCTCTACCCCGAATCACCAGCCCTGTGAGCTCCCTCACATCCAGCCTTGTAAAGCCCTGGCAGCCCCAGAGCTGTGGGAGCAAAGGGGAGCAGGAGAGGAGGCCCCAGACCAACCTGTGACGTGGGCAGTCACTGGAGAGGACAGCTCCTCCACTGTCTCAAAGAGCTTCTTGTAGCCTCCAGCAGGATGCTCCACCCTGGAAGGGCACAGCTGGGTGAGCCCGGAGCAGGGGCACAGCTGGGAGCCCCCCAGGGAGGGATGGATCTTTCTGCACTGGATGATCCAGGGCTTGCCAAGAACTTGGGGGAGGAAGGAAGGAGAAGCACCTTTCCATGGGGAAAGGCTCTGAGGCTCCAAACAGCTGCTGGGAACTGTCCTGAGCATGAGGAGGGACAGGGACACCGAGGGGACAGCCCACACTGCAGCCCAACAAACCAGGACACCCAAATCACCAGAAAGCAAAATCCAGTTTGTATCTCTCAGCTCTTGGAAAAGCCTTTTTAAAATTTTTTCCTTTTTCTTTTTTGCCTTTTTTTTTTTGAAGCAAAGAATTATTTGTTGGGTTCTAATTTTATCTGCTGCAAAGCCCATGAAGACACACCAGGTACAGGCTGGTGAACTCTGCCCGGAGCAGCTGTGGCTGCCCCTGGATCCCTGGCAGTGCCAAGGCCAGGCTGGACAAGGCTTGGAGCACCTGGGACAGTGGAAGGTGGCTCTGCCCAAGCTTGGAGTGGCACTGGGTGGCCTTTAAGGTCCTTCCAACCCAAACCATTCTAGGATTCCATTATCCTACTCCAAATTCTGGTAAATCTTCTGGAACCTGGAGGTGAGCCTGTTCCCTCAGACCAGGACCACACCTTGGCATGGGATGTGAGATGGAGACATGGAGGCCTCCCCACCTCTCCTCCCCTCCAAACCCCGCTGCCCCAGCCCCAGCCAAGCTCCACATGGGATGTGCTCCCACAGAGAGGAGCCTCAGGGATACTCACTGGCTGTACATCCTCCCTGGTGCAGGGCCCGAGCCTCCGGAGCCAAGCAGGGAGCCAGAGCTGTGCTGGGTATTTATGGGGTGCTGAGCCCTGCCCAGGGCAGCCCCATCCCAAAACAGCCCCCACCAATGAGAGCACCCCGGGAACAGAGCCGGCTTTCAGCTCCAAAATCCTCCCCGGGCTTTGGGAGCTTTTGTCCTGCTGTTCACACAAAAAGGGGCTTTCAGTGTTTTCCTGAGACCTAAATTCTTCCCAAGCAGAAGTGATTACAAAGAAGAAAAGCCCAGGGAGGAGTGGGA